CAAATTGGGCAAGCAGTGGCCGCCGCTCTGCGCATGTGCAGGAGGCGCCGGAGTTTCACTTTGTAACTTTCAAGTGCCCGGGACGCGGCTCCGCGGGGCCCGGTGGATACAAACAGCTTCCCGCCCCTCGCCGGCTGCGCCCGCGCCGCAGGTAAGGTGGGAAGGGGCCGCTGCGCAGGGGGAGCGTCGCCCGCCGCCTTTCCCGGACGTGCGGGTCCTGGGCTCTGCGCCCCGGTGCCACGTCAAGTGTCAGGTTTCGGGGCGCGGCCCTCGGACCCCCGCGGCCCCCACTCCCTAAGCAGGGTGCGCGCCTGGGTGGGAGCAGAGGCTCAGCCCCGGGGGCGCGCAGCCCCGCGCTCCTCCCGACGGCTTGTTCCGACTCTCAAGCTCCCCGCTTTTACGCCAACCCCTCCCCCAGCCCCTCTCTGGTCTTTGGGGTTCTGCCTGCTGGAAATCCGCAGCGCAGCCTCGCAGCTCTTCCTTCCTGAGCTGTTCGCGAGGCCGGCCTGGTCTGGGTCCCCTGCCGCCGGGGAGGTTGAAACCACCTTAGGTTTGTCCCTCGGTGACCATCCATCCCCTACAGCCCTAGTGGAGTCCAGAGGAGGGACCGGGACAGTGAGGATAACTCTTAAGAAACAAAAACACCCAGGTTCCAGTACCTGATAAAACTGGCTACCTGGGACCCCCAGGTGGCACTCCCCAGGCAGTGCCCCCAAGGGTAGGCAGGGTGACCCAGTCGCCTCGGAGTTTCCTTCTACCCTGAAGTTGTGCGGCTGTGTCCCAGCCCCTGCAGTGTAGAGGGTTTGAGGTTAAGCCAGTGGCTCACCAGGCCCAGTGGGTGCCAGGGGGCTGTGGGAAGCATCCTGGGCTTTTCTGGCTCCTGCAGGGTTGTAGACACCCAGTAGGGCCACAGGAAGACCCCGGGTCCTCGCTGTCTTTCTCTCTTCTCCCCTCCTGGGACCCCTGTCAGCCCCGAAGTCGGCTCCTGCCTTGAATGTGAGCAGAAGCAGGGGCCACCTTTTCCTCTCACACACCACTGTGTTTGTTTAGCGTTGGGACAAAGGTCTCTCTTGGCTGTTCACTGGGCTCTAAGAGGGAAAACATCAGATGGGGTCCTGCCGGTTTCCGTGTCGGCCCGGGGACCGAAGGGTCACGGGTTCTATCCTGGACAAGGGCATGTACCTCCCACTGGCTACAGGCTCGAGCGCCGGTTCCCTGCCTCACACTGATGTTTGTCTCTCCCCTTCCCTTCCTCTCTCTAAAAAATCAATGGAAAGAACATTGACAACAACAAATATGCAAACAGCTTTTGATTGTTCACAGGGCTGGGCCCCGGGCTAAGTGCTTTATGGGCACCGTCTCAGGTGTGTGCCTCCCGACAGCCCAGTAAGAGAAACATCCTGGTCCCCACCTTATGCAGAAGGAAGCTAAGGCACAGAGTGGTTAAGCCACTTGTCTAAGCCACATGGTGCTGGGACCCTAACTCCAGAGCCTGTTCGGGTAAATGCCAGGTGCACCGCCTCTCATCCCTGTGCCATTTACTTGTCACTCTAGGGCACGGGTGAGTGGAGGTAAACAGTTGTCCCGGCTCCTGCGTCCTGTGCGGTGGCACTTTAAGGAGAAGTTTGTGTTTACTTTGTAACCTTCTTCTGCATCTAGGAGATGAGAGTTAGCTCCTGTGGCAGAAAGACTAGGGCTGCTTTTAGTCCTGCGATGATTGTAACAAAATCAGAAGACTCGGCAATGTTAAAAAATACCTTGAATTTGTACAGAGTCTTCTTGTGAGAGCCTGTAATGCTCACATACTTCCTGCCTGGTGTTTCTGGAAGAAATAGCGACCTGCCACTGTGCTCTGGGGGCCAGTCCTTGCTGGCAGTTCAGGTGGGCAGTGGGTTAGCCTTGGTCGGTGACTTTATTGGCAGGTTTGGGAACAGCTGTTGGACTCAGCCATCTGTCCCACTGGCCACGACCAGATTCTGGGCTGCCTATGGCTGAACTTTGAGTTGGGGGCCTAAGTCACCTGCTGTTCACCTGGCTCAGCAGGAATTCTTGGCTCTCCCACCCTCAAGGTCTTGGCTAGGCGTGAGATGATGAATATTGACCTCTCTAGGAGGCATAGGTAAGTGCTAGGCATTTGCACATATGTATCATACAAATATCAGATAACTGAATATTGCGAAGGTAGCTGCCAGGCAGGGCTCCTGTGACCAGAGGGCCTACTTGCTGGCTTGGCCCCAGCCCAGTACTATCAGATTTTCACCCACTGAGCCAGCTTCCTCCTGATCACCGCCAGTGGAGTCCTCTCTCCCCTCCCCCCCCCACTCAGCCTGGCAGAGCTGCCCTCCCAGAGGGCGCCTGTTCTGGAAGATGTAGGGAGGGCTGGCCCTGGAGAGACCATGATGTTTCAGCAGAGCCTGGACTTGACGTGTGTGACAGGCAGGGACAGGCTTCAACTGAGCTGAAAGGCCTGAGACAGACTGTGGCCTCCACAGCTGTGCTCTCACCTGGGCGTGTCACCTGGAGGGGGCAGACCGGCCGGGCTCCACCCCAGGTTGGCTGTGTTTGCTGGCTGACCTCACTGGGCTCTTCTTATCAAACAATAAACCCCCCCAAGGGATCCTGTTTAGCAAGAGGAAAGAGACTTAGAGGCATGGCTGGGGCTGGCGGGGGAAGAGGAACCGCAGTGCGGCCCCCCCTCGGGGCCTCTGCCCCCCTAAAGCTCAGCATGAAGCAGCATTGGTGAGGGTTGTCCCGCCCCCGGCACCGTCCCAGCCAGCGCCTCCACCTCTTTCCAGGGACAGTGTTCCCTCTGTGAGTCCTCTATGAGGATGTTCTTTTCTTAGCACTTCACTTTTCAAGTCTTTCGTGTTTGTTCTGCCCTGTCCCTGGCAGCAGCCGCCCTTGGGGCCCAGATGAGGTCCTCAGCTCAGAGTCCCACAGCCTCCTGTGCTTGGGGGGGGCGGGAGGGTGGTGGGCACTGTCCTGTTCCCAGCAGGGCCTCGAGCCTTAGGAGAAGAGGGGAGAGGCTGGGGCCCTGGGGGATGCAGGGTGAGGAGGGAGGAGTAGGGTGGCACAGAGGCCTGAGGACCTAGAACCAGTTCTGGGAGTTGGGGGAGAGGTCAGGGCAGGAGGTTGTCCATTGGGAGGAACCAAAGGGTCCACTGAGTGAGTTCAGAGACATCGGGGCAGGTGTGAGTGTGGGGGGAGTGTGTCGAAGGGTCTCAGGCCAGAACTCCTGAGCTGGAAGTGGCAGCTTCCAGATGACTCTGGTTGTCTGTGTTCTTTTAGGAAAGGCTGTCAAGGCTGGCGCCCCATGACCCTGTGGTGAGGGAAGTCCTGCAGGAAATGAGTGGCCGGCCTGACGCAGCTTGGGAGGTGGCCGGGGCTACTGCTGCATTTGCCAGAACCAGCTCCAACTGAGGACCCCTCCAAGGGACTCATCCACAGTCCTTACGTCCCCTGGTGTCTGGTACGTGTGGGGAAAGGAGGAGGGGCAGGCACTGGCCTCCCAGCATCCAAGTGAGGTGTTGGGGTGGGGCCACAGGGTGGGGTTTAAAGGAGGGAAGCCAAGATCATCTGTTTCCCAGAAGTAGTTTTTGTCTCCATGCTCTGGCACCACCCCCTCCAGCTCTTACAGAGGTGAGAAAGTGACCTGATCTTCTGGGAATCCTCACATGACTCGGACCTGCCACCCTCCCCCCACCCGGCCTGTGCTCCTGTGTTTGTGAGATTGTCCCCAGCCCAGCAGGCCAAGGGGTTAGAACTGGGAATCACCCCCCCAGCACACAACCCACCAGCACTACCAGGAGTCCAGACTTCTGTTGGGGTTCCCTGTCCCTTTTCTTCTGGTTCCCAAGATTGTTGTCCCTGCAGCAGGTAGAAAGAAACCCCCTGGGAATCTGGTTTAACCACATATGGGGAGGTGGGAGCTGGAGGAAGGGGGTGCTGAGCAGTTATCCTGGCTCTTCAGCCCAGACAATGTGAAAAGAAGGCACTAATTCCGGGGCCTTTGGTGTCAGGAGACAAATGCTAGGGCTTTTAATTAAAAAAAAAAAAAAAATCTTTATTGATTTCAGAGAGAGGAAGTGAGAGGGAGAGGTAGAAACATCAATGATGAGAGCATCATTGATCGGCTGCCTCCTGCCCGCCCCCCAGTGGGGACTGAGCCCCAACCCAAGCATATCCCCTGACCGGGAATCGAACCACGATCTCCTGGATCATAGTTTGGTGCTCACCCGCTGAGCCACGCCAGCCGGGCCTAGAGCTTTTCATTAGCTTCACCAAGGGTACCAGGCGCCAGGAAAGGAGAGTCGGCAGCCAGCCTGGAGCAGTTTTGTTTTGGGCATTTCAGGCCTTTCATTTAGACCAAAGGTACTCAGGAGTGCAGGGGTCAGAGGGCACAGCTGGGAGGGCGCAGTGGGTGACTCAGGGGTCCCTGGGAAGTCCTGAGACTATCCCCATTCTCCCCCTGGACCACCCCCTCCTCTCTCCTCTCTGTTCCCACATCTCTCTGGCTGCCCCTTCCCAGGCCTTTCATCTCTCACTGAACTGACGTGTTTGTCCGCCTGCTGGAGCGGGGGCTGGGATTGGTAGAAAGAGATCTGACATCTGCGAGTCAGGAGTCTGGGTCTGAGACCCGAGTCTGCCAGCCGGCTCCTTAATCTTGGGGCAGGTGGTTAAGCCTCTGAGCCTCAGTTTCCAAGTGTAGAGAATGGGCCTGTCTCTGACGTCCTTGAACAGTGGCAGCAGGGCTCGCCCGTGCCCCGCAGACCTGCAGTGTGGACTTAGATTCCCTTCTCCCTTATTTGTCTCCTTCCACGCGCTCCCTGCCTGCACGCTAGCTCTCCCAGTGGCTCCTACGGGAATTCCTCACCAGCAGTAGTCCTGGAGGCTGGGGGCACTGGGGGCACCTCCTCAGTAGGCAGACACAGCATCGCCTGTCCTTCCCTTTCTTCCTGTTCTGCCCACTCCGGGAGGGGGGGCTGCCAGCTGTGTTTTGCATGAGCCACCCGCTCCATCCATCTGACCCTTGGGACTGTTCCCACAATGGAGCCGTTTTCTATAGACTCTGCCTGGCACGTGGGGTCTGGCGTCTGCCTCTCCCCGGTCCCTCACCGTGGGCTCCTGCCAGCCCTTGGAGGGGACACCCACCTTTGGCCCTGCCAGCGCTGGCTGGGGAAACTACGGGAAAGTTGGAGCTCTGACTGTCTGCCTGGTCCTGTTCTCCAGGGATCACAGGCGCGATGACGGCGGCCTCTCCGTTCCTGGAGCTGTGGCCGTCCAAGGCCGTGTCCATCCGGGATCGACTGGGCATTGGGGACCAGCCCAATGACTCCTACTGCTACAACTCCGCCCAGAACAGCACCGTGCTCCAGGGCGTCCCCTTTGGTGGCATCCCCGTTGTCCTGCTCATAGACGTCAGCTGCTTCCTGGTAAGACCTTTGTGAACCATGTCCCCCCTCCCCGTTATTTGTTTATTTAAGCCCCCCGTCCCCCGGCCTTCTGGGAAACTCAGGTGAGGAGCCATAGGTACCTGGGTTTATATCCCAACTGCTACTTTCTGGCTCCGTGACCTTGGGCATGTTACATAGCTTGTTTGGGCCTCGGGTTTCTGCTCTATGAAATGGAACAAATAATTCTTACTTCAGAGCGTTTAGAGAAGATTAAATAAGGCAAGGTATGGAAAGAACCCAGGTCGCTGTTCCTTTGGCAATTACTCTCATTCCTGTGCCAGTTTCCTCCCTACACCGACTCAGCACGGGCCAGGTGAAATGTATTGGGGCTAAGGGGCACCTTCTTTTCACAAATGTCCACGAGACGGTTGGTCCCTCTTGATGCCCTGTCCTAACATGTAGAGGGGACCATGTGAGTAAATGGGGTGAGATGGGGCAGAGGGAGTAGATACCCCGGGGTGGCTTTGGGCCAGAGGCTAGGTGGGGGACTGGGGGAGCGGGAGTTAGGGTGGCCAGTGGGTCCCAGCTCCCAAGGGAAGGAGGCAGGTGTCAAACAAGTTTGGGGGTGGGGGGAGATCTCCCTCCTCCTTTCCAGTTGGTCCCTAGGATTAAGGCCTAAATGTGTGCATTGGAGTTTTGCTACATTGTTGGTCCTTTGCGGGCTGATGTGGGAACCTGTGTGCTACTCATGTTGCATTTATGGAAAAGGGCTCCTTCTGTGCCAGATCACCCGTGTCTTGGAGTGAAAACCTATTTGTAGATTGAGAATGCCGTCCTATAGACCGGTCTTGGTCGAGAAGGGAAGGGTGGACAGGGGTGTGGTGGTGGATTTGAGGGTGCCGGGGTTCATGGGAGAGGGTGGCCCAGGAGCTGTTATGCAGCGTCTTCGGGGAGGGGAGAGTTTGGGCCAAGGTGAGAAGTCTGGGGACAGGGGATGGGCAGGGACCTGAGGCGGCTGGGCGGGGTACGTTTGGAACAGGGTAGGTTGAGAAGAGGGAGTTGCTGTCCAGGGGAGTGTGCTTGTGGGGGTGGATTTTTATTGCAGGAAGATGAGCCAGGGGTGGCGGGGGCTGGAAAACCTGGACTCGTAGGAAATGTCCACACCCCTCGGCCAAGAAAGCGGCAGTCAGGGCGAGGGGGCAGGTCCTGGCTGAGCAGCCTGCGTTTTATTCTACAACGTGACTCACCTGCCTTTGAAAGCACATCACCCACTTCCAGCTCAGCCCGAGCACTCTGCTGCCCTGGTTCTGTAATTAAAAATGAAATTCTGTTTGAAGTGAAGACTTTCCTGCTCAGGGGCCACTAGAGACAGATCAGGCCGAGGAAGGTTGTGGCTGTTGATTCTCCCTTGATAGCGAAGGCCAGGGCCAATGTGCTTGACTGGAAGGGCGCCAGGGCAAGCTCAGGGTCAGCGTCGACAGCCTTCGTGACTTGGGAACAAGTGACAAGACCCGGGGGAGGGGGGTGAGCAAAGCATCAGGCCTTTCAGCCTTTGAGCTGTGTGGCTTTGGGCAGCTCGGTACCCTCTCTGGGCTTGGATCATCTCCAAGGCCCTTCTAGCCCCGCTGACTCTGTGCAGGTGGCCTTTGTCCCCAAGGCCGCTGTCTCTTCTCATTAGAAGCCATCCGATATGCTCTCACCTGGTTCCTTTTCTACTTTCAGTTTTTAATATTGGTGTTTTCCATCATAAGAAGAAGATTCTGGGATTATGGGCGTATTGCCCTGGTGTCAGAAGCAGGCAGGTAAAAAAAGACATATTACCTCTACTGTGAGTCAGAGTGTGGCCGTGAGTGTGTGTGTGTGTGTGTGTGTGTGT